GAGAAACTCAGCTATCAGAACTTTAGAGTCACTGTTCTTCTTTCGAAATAAAAATTCATGCCAATCCTGGGGAGTGGGCCATCTCATAATAATGGGATGGAGCTGAGATTGACCACAGCTTTCTAGAATGCCAAAGTGCAGTTCGACACTTTTCTGAACCACAATTCTTACATAATACAGGCATGAATTAAAACCTTGCAGAACACAGGACAAATAGTGAGTGGTACAGCACTCAGGAGGTGAGCGGTCTTTGTGCAGCGCCAGAGGAAACCTCATCTGTGCCTTCTCCAATCCATCAAATCATCTAAGGTCTGAGATAATTAAATGGCATTGCAATGGGAACAGCCATGTAGTGACTGACAGTGTTTGTTTTAATGCCTTTATTTACTTTAGTTCCAAGCAAAATGCTATAAATCCTGCACAGTTGCTCACATTTATAATTTAAATGCACAAAGTATTATTATACTATACTGCAGCACCAGCAGGAGAAGCCCTCTGCTGATATATTGCCAGCAGACTAAAAAGCTGTGTCCTTTATCAGAGCACATACACACACATGCTTGCTTTATATTTGTGAGCAAGCAGGGGCAGGGGTATCAAAAATGCCTGATACTAGTGAAGGCCATTCAAAACCTGACCCTAAATTTGAGTGCGCATGTAAGGTTTTATACCTTAAAACATTGCAAAAAATTGTCTTGTTTTAAGTGCTCTTACACTGAGGGGATCCAGGCTTACATTTGGTCAACAAATAAACATGTTTACAAAAAGAAAACAAATCCACATTTAGAAAAAAGTTCTCTAAAATTACTCATTCTTATTGCCTTCTTCCTCATTATCAAAACACGGCACTAAACACCAGTGAAATTCAAACTATCTAATCATAGGTGTGGCATGGGGCATTGACTTACAAGAACAGATGGCCTCACTTTTGCCCCGCATTAATCCTTTAGGTGTTGGATCCTAAGGAGATCTAAGGTCCCAGGGGCGCTGTGATGGAGGGCACTTGAGGACGGAGTGAGCTCAGGATAGTAGCTATTTATCAATTGTACTGAAGCATTTCAACATTTTCAGAGGTTGTCATACAAATGTTAACCTGGCTAAAAGTTCATTTATATTAATAGGTGGTACTAGAATTATGATGCATAGAAATGTAGAAGATTCTAATCTAGTGGTAGAATAGAAAGGTTTGCACATTCTCCCAGTTGTTGGAAAGGGGTAGCAGACTTGCCAAGTTTGAATGTAAATACAAGTAGTTCCACTCTTGACTGTCACTGAGAAAATTAAGGGAGAAAAAGGTTAATATTTCTTGTGTCACAATACACCATAATCTCATTTAATTATATCAATAATCCTGCAGGAAAATGTAATAGTTTACTAGGGCTACTGTAACAAAGTATCACAAACTGAGTGAGTGCCTTAAACATCAGAAATGTATTTCTCCACGATTCTGGAGACAAAAAATATTGCATTTTCAGTTTCCTATGCTAATTTTAAGAAGAGAATTTTTAGTTTCGATAAAGTTCAACTCACCATTTTGTCTTTAGTTTTGGCCTTTTGTGCCCTATTTAGAAAATTATTACTGACTCTAAAGAATGCAAATGTAATAGATCTGGATTTAATGTTAAATTTATGAGACATTTTAAGTTGTTTTTGCATATGTTATGATGGGTCAGCAAACTGTGGCTCACAAGCCACAGGCTCTGAAGTAAAATTGAAAATGAAAATAAAACTATCATAGTTTTATTTATAAAAAGTTTAAAGGATATTCTTCACAAAATGATGATTATGTAAAAATATATTGTGGCTCTCGAATAATTTTTAAATTGTTGTGAGGGACAGGATTTGTTCTTCCAGGGGTTGGCAAACTTTTGAAACAGAAAGTACCCAAAGAGCCGCATGTGGCTCGCGAGCTGTAGTTTGCCGACTCCTGTGCTATGAGGTAAGAGCTGGGCTTCATTTTTCTGCATGTGCCTTCTATTGTTTCAGAGCCATTTGTTGAGAAGACTGTCCTTTTCCCTTGGAATTACTGTGGCAATCCTTGTCAAAAATAAGTTGACCATGTATGCACATGTATACAGGAGAACAGCATACATTTACTGTTTACTTTCTGTTTTATTCCATTGATTAAATTCTGTTCTCAGGTCAATACAGCTCTGTCTTGATTACTGTAGCTTTATAGTAAGTCTTGAAATCTGGTAGGGTGAGTCCTCCAACTAAAACAAAAAAGTTTCAGCTTTCTAAGTTTGTTTTATTATATCCATATAAACAAGGAATCATCAATATCTACAAAGAGAAAAATTGGATTTGGGCTGGAATTGTGATAGATCTACAGATCAATTTAAGTAGTACTGACAACATAATATTGAATCTTTTAATCTGTGATCTGGTGTTCTTTAATTTCTCTCAGAAGTTTGACAATTTTATTTATTTATTTATTTATTTATTTATTTATTTATTTATTTATTTATTTTTAAAGATTTCATTGGGGAATTGGGGAAGGGAACAGTGTGTTTTTCCAGGACCCATCAGACCCAAGTCAAGTTGTTGTCCTCAGTCTTAGTTGTGGAGGGCACAGCTCAGCTCCAAGTCTAGTCACAGCTTTTCAATCTAATTGCTGGTGGCAGGGGGTGGCGCAGCTCACTATCCCATGTGGGAATCGAACCGGTAACCTTGTTGTTAAGAGCACGTGCTCTCACCAGCTGAGCCATCCTGCAACCTGTTGGCAGCTCAGCAGCAGCTCAGCTTGGGCGCAGCTCACTGGCCCATGTTGAACTGGCTACCTTGTTGCTCAGAGCTTGCGCTCTAACCAACTGAACCACCTGGCCAGCCCCGGGTTTGAAAATTTTAAATGTACAAGGTGTGCATATATGTTATAAAATTTATCCCTAAGAATTTTATATTTGATGGTATTAGTCTTAGTGGTATATTTTTTCAATTTTCGTTTTTCATTACTAATCAGTTGATTCTGTATATTGATCTTGTATTCTGCAACTATAACAAATTCACTTATTAATTCTAGTAGTTTTTTGTAGATATAGGTTTTATGCATGATTCTGTCATCTTCTTTTTCAATCTATATATGAGTATGTCTTTTTTTTCTTGCATTATTGCATTGGACCTCCCCCCCTCAAAAAACCCCCCACAATGTTGATTACAAGTGATAGAAGTGAAAATGTTTACTTTGTTCCTAATTTTAAAGTATTGAATTTTTCACCATTTATATAAAAATTAGCTGTAGGTTTTCCATAAATGTGCTTTTTCAGATTGAGGAAGTTTCTTTTAATTCTAGTTTAATAAAAGATTTTGTCATAAATAAATATTGAATTCTGTTAAATATTTTGTCTATATTTATTGCAGTAAACATATGGATTTTCTCCTTTATTCTGTTAATATGTTGAATTATAATGACTGATTCTCAAATGGTAGACAACCTTAGATTTCTGGGATGAATCTCACGTATTATTTTTTTATATTGCTGAATTTTTTTGCTAATATTTAGTTAATAGTTTTGGTATCTTGGTATTTATGTTCATGAGGGCTATTTGCCAATAGGGTTTTTTGTTTGTTTGTTTGTTTCCTTTCTTTCTTTCTTTCTTTGTTTCTTGTAAAGTCTTTGGGTGGTTTTATTATCAAGGTAGTACTATTCTCATGGAATTAGTTGTGACGTGTCCATCCTCTTTGCCATTTCTGAGTTCATTTTTATTAATTAATTTTTCTCATGGCTATGGTTCACAGTTTAGTTTTTTGGAGGCATCTGTATAATTTTAGATTGGATGATGAATATTTGGAACTTCATGTTGTTGAGTTGTGGTTTTGCTATATTTCGTTGTGTTTATAAAAAATGGTCAGACTTTGTCTTGAGAGGCCTTTAAATATTTTGTGGATTAGCAGCTTTATTCTGTTAGGCTGTGTTGGGGCTTCACTCTAGGAGTATTTTAGCACAACTAATAAGGTGCGAATCTTCTGGGATTGTTAGTCAAGGTGATCAATTAGGATTTTCCACAATGATTGATCAGACCTTGAATGTCTTTCTGCCCTGTATGATACCTAGGAATTTTCAGCGTACAAGTCAGTAGTTCTTTGTCTGGTTTCATGGAATTTTACCCTAAGTGTATGTACAGCTTAATATCCCATTAACAGATACAAAGTCACCTATATGCAGATTTTTTGAGGTCTTTCTCTATGTAGCTCCCTGTTGGCTACATAGAGAAAGTGTCCCACAAATTCCAGCTACCTTAGTCTTCTTGCTCCTGTCTATGTCTTCTCAATTTAGTGAGACTATTAGGCTCTACATAAGGGTCTTCCTGTGGTCTGAAATGTGTCAATGTTGGGGCATTCGTAGGGCTTAGAATTTTGTTTCTCTCTTCTCATGGATCACAGCTCATCTCTGTGTTTGTCCAATGGGTGAAACAGTAGTTCAGTTTTTTTTAATTGCTTATAATGGGATGATAAATCTGGTCTCTATCTTTAACTATGGCCAGGAGAATAATACTTTAACCTCTTTTATAGATAAATAACTGAAATTAGAAAGACTAAACAGCATAGTGATGAAGAACAGGGATTTGGGATTTAGGTTGGAATTCAAATTTTTGGTTATTAATCAGTTGTACAAACTTGAGTAAGTTATTTAACTTTCTGTCTTGGTTTCTATATTTTTAAGATGGATATGCTTATGATTATAATGATGGTTATAATGATAATAATAATAAAAATAATAATGTAATGTTAGAAATTATCTCTTACCATTATTATGGTGATTAACTGAGGTGATGAATGTGAATTTTTTAGCACAGTTCCTGACACATAGTGGGTCTTGGATATGGTGTTAGCTAACTACTGATATTCTCCATGATCACTTTGGTAGACTTCTGACTTCAATTTCGGGAATGTAATATTGATGGACATGATAGATGTTTTTCCATTATTTATCAAAACTCTGTTTCCTTTAATAAGTATTTAGAACAGGAAATAGATATATTCAGGCCCATAGGACAAATCTCTTTGAAGCAATGACAAAGTATACTCATTTAATGGAACACAAGAATTCTTAAACAAGATTGTTTATGGGGAAAATTTTAAGGAAAGATTTGTAGATAATCCATGACAAATTCTCATTTCAGGGTACCTATCATTTAATTAATCACTATGATGGGTATCTTTAACATTAAGCAAAAATTAACAGTTTCATAGTCTTGAGACTTCGTCACTCAAAACACAACTTTTAAAAGACATATCCAGGTTTCTTTTTAGAACGCCCCAAAATCTTGAATGATCATAAATAGAGTTCAACAGAGAAATATCAGAGAAAGCTAGCAGGTTTATTGTTGAGGGTTAGTTAATGTCCTTAGTTGATCCTCATGAACTTAAGTATGGCAGGTAGACAAGAAATAAGACACAGATTTGATAGAAGTGTAATGGAATATTTTAGCTCAGCAAGGGGAATTTAGAAGTCTTTTCTGCTGGCTGATCACAGCTAGTGTGTCAGCCAACAACATCCGCTGACTCTCAGATGACAACAGTGCCAGTTAATTAGCTCTTGTTTGTGTTTTGACTATTGATAGACTTAAATTATATTCATATTGTCATGCAGAACAAACACGTAGAAAAGTTTGCCTTTGATCTGAATACACTCATTTTGCTGCAGCCACATGTGAACTGCATATCAGAATAAAAAGCTTATGGAAAGTCAGGCATAGAAAGTCATCTAAATCAAATAATTTAAAAAAACATTTAATTAGTGATGATAATTTTGTCTTGGTAACAAAATACTCTATTTCAACAGAAGTTTAAGTTGACTTATAAAATTTAAGACATTACCTCTGAGATTGATGCTACAAATCACTATGAATATCTCCACAAATTCCTCAGCCCACTTATCCCTTTGACTTTTTAAAGATTTAATGCTATAGTTGTTAGCATAAAGCATATTCTTTATGTACAGTTCTTGAATTAGAATGGATTTCATTCTTTCATGACTATTAAAAAGCTTTCCCTCCTTCTGATTGTTATAAACCCTTCTAACAGTGCTTATGAAAAGTCAAGGAAATGGTTTTTCTAGAAGCCAGAATAACATATTGCTTGCAGTAATTTAAATTGCAGAAGAGTTTGTGTCTTTGCAATACATCCTGTGTAACAAGGTGTCTGCTGAGGAGCTCAGTAAAGCATGCTAGGGGTGTTGGAATCTTTTTCTTTTGAGGACAAGTGCCCCATGATTGGCATGCTGCAGCCACTGCTGCACTCTAAAAGACTTCTAGGTTGGAATTAAGCATGGACAAACACCTCTCAAGGGAAAGTGTGTGTGTTGGAAATCCTGGCCATTTTCTCTACCCTCTTATTTTTCTTTTTCCCCCAATTCCTCATCTTTCTTCTCAAAGAAACATAAGGAGACACTACTCAGAAATATAGATATGTTTGCTTGGTGTCCTTGATTAGAAATAGTTGAGACATCAGGAAGCCGAAACCAAGATGATTATTTATATAATCCTTAAAGCTAAAAGCTTTCAAATACATTGCAACAAAAGAAATTTTAAGAGGCAGTTTTATGTACACCGTTCTGTCTCCCCTATACTGCCCTCACATCACTAAGATGGTTTAGCATCGAAATCAGCTTAGGTAATCATAAAAGTTAAAAAGCTGCCCCTGGCAGCTTATCAGCTTCAAAGCTTTTCACAAAACTGCAACCAACATGACGTTTTGATTGTATGTGCCAAAGAAGTGGTCAAGGTTGATCAGTCAGCTTTCAACAGGAGAGTGTGCTCCTGGTAGAGTGGCAGCTCTAATCATATGGTGTTTCCAGGAAAGGGATACACTGAAAGGTAATATCACAATTATGTGTTTATGAAGTGCTGGTTTCTACAAACTGGAGATTTCCTAACAATTGCTAGAACAAATCATTACATTTTTAAAAGAAATAAAAAATGCACAGAGAGTATTAACAAAAAGGATTTTGAAAAAAAATCTCAATCTTGTTTGTTATCTTGTTAATGAATGCAGTTCAATGTGTCACAAATGCCCTTCTATCCTTGTCACATAGTGTGAATTACAAGTGGAAAGACCAAAGAAATGGTACGACTTCCCTCTACCAGGGTCTGATATGAGAATTCTTAGTCCCTTTCTCACTTATTACAGATACCTTTAATTACTGAGTCCTCATGTTTTAATAATCAATAAAAATATTCATAATTATGAGAGGACAATACCACTACCATTTTTACATTCACATTATGATATTTTTAGTGTGTTGATACAGTAATTATTTATTAAAAGTAACATGAAAATATGAATAAAGTATCTTTATGTACAAAGTGGCACATTGTGATTTCTACCTAACATTTAATAATACACTTGCAAATTTTCTCTGCATTACTATAGTAGAAAACAATAAATACAAACATTAGATAATATAAGAACACCAAGAAAGTAGGAAAGACCCCATGGGTAAAAACGGTCATCTCTGGAAACTTTAAACTCAAAGGAAGGTCATGTCATCAGTAAGCCCACATGCCTGGGCTTGTCAGGTTAACTGCTCACAAATGCCCTTTCTAGAATTCCCTCTCCTGAGAATATTCCTATCAAATGTAGGAATGTGCTTTTTCATGTCTCAAAGGACAGGGGCCCAAGATTCTTTTGGATTCTACCAGATTATTGCCTGTCATCCGGGCATCACTTTTTTTGGGACAGGAGACTGGTGCAGACTGGCGGAGCAGGATTGGAAGTCAGGATCAATTTCACAGGGCTTTCTCTCTTTCTACCCCTCGAGCATAGAAGCTGAAGATTAAGCCTGTGGGGGGAAAAAATTAGATTCCATGAAAGTGAAGAAGTAGAGATGTTGGGGGAGACTTTTTTTTTGTTTGTAAAAAAGTTAGGGACTAAGGGATTTTTTTCCACCCAGTAGAGTCACTTGAACGTCTCCCAAGCACTTCAGACTCAACGTGTCTGAAAGGAAAACCCCTATTCTGCCTCCCTAACCTGTCCCTCCTCACTCCATAATTTCCACCTTTTCTCTTACCTCCATAGCATCAGCTCCAGTCCTAATCTTCCTAATCTTCCCCATTCCCCACTGCCTATATCCAATCATCCACCACCTCTGGAGAATTTTATCTGCCAGACATTTCTCTATTCCATTCCCTTCTAAGCCCTTGTTTCCTTTTCCTAGGAAACACTGCAAGAGTTTTCTGACTTCCCTGCTTCCAACCTCACTGCTTTCGAATTAATCATCCACAGTAAACATCAGTGATGTGTCTCAAGCACAAATCCCATCACATTTCTCTTCTGATTAAAGCCCTTAACTGTACCCTATCACTAATGGGACACAATTTGAGATCTGTTGCTTAGGGTGACAATGTGAGTCATTAAGAAATTTATCGGGAGAAGGCTACTTAGTAGGGGGAAGAATGAAGAGGCAACTCTCGACTTCTTCACAGGAAAGAGAGCCAGGACTTTGTTTGATTACTTTGGGGTTTTTTGTTTGCAGCGCAGAAACAACGTTCTCTGTTGGTCCAAAAGGGAGCAGGAGATGGAGGCTTTGTGCCCCAAAGTGGGAAAGGGGTGGGTTCTGGCAGGAGTTAGATGTTGTGGCAATGCTGGTGATTTGCTAGTCTGGGAGGAGAATACGGTGCTGGTGAGGTGGGCAGTCATGCCAGGATGGAGACTTGCACCCTGCTCTTTCATGGCATAGTTGGCAGAGGCACAGTCTTTGGTTGGGATGTTTACACTGTTGCCTTGAATAGGGAGAAAGCAGGACATTGGTTGTCATGACTTGGAGGTCAGTTTGAAGAGCAGAGTGGCCATAGGATTCATGTGAAGACTTAGTCTATGGGAAGGACTGTAGAACAGGGTATTTTTGATGTTCTCCCAGAGCATCTGTGGCAGATAGAGGGTCCAGCAACTGCTAGGGCTTGGTGTATCTCTAGAAGGGGCACAGTGATTATAGGCCTCCCAGCAGACCAGGCCCCCCTCTCAAATTTTGGACTGATTTCCTGGGTGTGTTTTACATTCAAGGTCAGAGTGTTTCCCAAAATGAATAAATGACTTCTTGATGGCATTACAGAAGAATCTGATTTTATTCTGCTTAGAAAAGGAAAGTAGTTCCTTCTTGCTTTGTGAAGTCCTTTCTGATTTACCGTGGGAAAGGAGACCTCCCATGATCTGGTGCCCTCTACTGCTTCAACCTGATATCCCAGCCTTTCTGGCATTGGACTGTATCCTCTAGGTCAGTGCTTCCCAAGCTATCACCTATGGTGAAAGACCACGCTGTTTTTAAATTTATAATCAGTTGCCAACTGATATTTCTAAAAATACAGTAACTTGAATAGAAAGTTGCAGCAATATCAATTGCTCTAAACATTTTTAAAGGCTTACACACAGTTTCTGTTCTTAATCTCATTGTAGAATAGCATCCATAGTTCACTGACCTTACAGCAGACGTGTACAGTGCAGCTCTAGGCTAACCAATTATTTATACCTTATTTCATATGCCGTATAGTTTCACAATTCTTTTTATTAGTATATGCTGTTCCCTGTGCCTAGACACACCTAGGTCACTTTTTTTCTTATTCTGTAAGTCTCAGGTCAAATACCATCTTCACTAAGAAATTTGCCATTAAACTTCAAGGTGCCATGTCTATCTTTACATGCCACTATCTTATTAGTTACTGTTATACTAAAGTGATCCTCCTTAGGTGTATTTCTCTTCATTTCTATGAGCTCCTTGAGGACAGCAACCATGTCATATACCTCTTTCTGCTTGGCCTAGTACTTGTCAAGAAGTAAAATCTGTGTCTCTTTTTGTTAAGCTAAACTGTACTCCTCTGTAGGTTGAGTTTCCAAGTGAAGTCAGCATAGCTCATAGCTAAGTAAACATCTGGATTGATGTGAGTAAGATAATGTTCATGATTAATATTGTATTGACCTTTGTTTTAAAAAATCAGCAACCAATATAGGAGCAAACAAGAGTTTCTATCACAGTGTCTTCCATATTGATACTCTTTCTGAAGACATGGCTCTTGCTTTATTAACGATTTTTTTCATTAGTTTATAATTTGCTGTCTTTCCAACATTATAATCCCTCTAACCGTCAGTATGTTGGCTTTAATAATAATGATAACACAGGACTTTATAGTCACTGAAGCTCTCTCAACCCCATAATTGTATAAATTTGTGATTCTTACAAAGTATAAATGATCATGTTTATAACAAACTATCACGATAGATGATTCTTTAAGAATATTGACAACACTTTATAAACAAAGAGGCACAATGGTCTTAGAAAAGATTTTTCTGTCCTGGCTTCATAGATGTGGAACCTACACTGCAAAGATTAATCCAATTTATACCTTTAAATGCAGCATATGAAACTATTTGTTTCAACAGTATGATTTTCAGAAATTACAAACAAACTCAAGTAAATTAAAGGTTATAACCTTTTTGGTTTTGACACACATTTTTGATTAGTAGTATAAGAACTCCTCTGTATAATTTTGTGTTACCATTTCTATTCCTTCCTCTATGAATTATCTGTTCATGGCCTTTGCCCATTTTTCTATTTCCCAATATGTATAAACATCTTTGTATATTTAGGATATTAATTAATTGGTGTCATATTTATGCATTTTCCCAATTTGTTTTTTGTCCTATAAATTTTGTTATGATAATGTTTTTTACTTTTAGAAGTTTTAACTCATGATGTAGTAGAATTTATATCTTGTCTATTGAATTTTCTTATATTGTTTCATGTTTTGAAACTTCTCACTCAATCAGACGGTTAATAAAACATATCTAATTTTTATTCTATTTTCTCTTTCTCTTTGAAATTTTTTTTAATTTTAATTCTTTATACATTTTTTTCCATAGAGATATTATTAGTTAATATCCCCACGTCCACACTCATTATTGACCAATTTGTTCAGCTCTTTTATTGGCATCAGTAAGAAAGGAATATGCTTTGCCTGCTCCACATTTTTGCTTAGACATTCTGGCCTGGGCAGAAGTTCCATATAACAGGAATCAATTCCTTTAGTGATGTCATCCTTGCCATTCCTTGTCATAAGAGAATTAATCTCAGAAGGAGATAACAGCACAGTTGCATTGTAAATGAGCACAACTATGCATAGAAATGTATATAGCTAATGTAGCTCTAATCTTTGATTCCAGTGGCCTTCAAAACTTAACACGTTATTTTTTGTATTCATAGCTATTTTGAGGGGAGTCTTAGTGAATTATATGAGGAAAATTTAAGCCAAATAATTTTTTTCTTATTTTAAAGAAATTATGGTTCCTAAATGTAACAATAAATCTGCAGTGAAAAGATAAAAAATTTTTGAAACACCTATTAACCTTCCTGTTCTTTATATAAAAGTCTTGGAGATTTTAGAACTAGTTTGAATTGGTGAATCAGCATCAATCATGCCCACATAGATTTTTAATTTTTTCTCAAATTATTTTCTATTTCTTGTGTGTGGTGTCACGCTGTCACTAGACAAAGATTTGCAGAGAGCAAGGACCATAGATTATAAGTGCTTTGGAATTCCTGTCTACCCTGCCAACTGTATTAAATATCATACTCTGTACAAATTAGATGATCAATATATGAAGCAGCAAACATTAAATATATCTAGATTTTTATTTTGAGGTAAAAAATTTTAACATGAGTGAATATTTTCATATTAGTGTTTGGTGTTGCATACAGATCCAAAGATTTCCCAACTTCTTTTCCACAAATCTAATTCTGATAGATATATTTCTATTTATTCTGAATCTCTGAGTTGAGGTCTAATTTCTAGTTGATAACATAGAAAGTAATTACTCACTGGTTACTACATTGAAAGTACAATAATTGTTAAGAGAAATACATTGAAAAAAAGTAAGACAGATAGTAGAATTGACAGATGTCAAACTGGTTCCCATTATTTTCTGATCTTTACTCTTCAGAATAGTGTTATGTAATTCCAAAATTATGCAAAAGAGCAACAAAAGCTATTTATCACTGCAAATTAAAAGACATGTAATTAGAGGCAAGAATATATTTTAAAGTACAACATTTGAAAGAAATGGGAGATGGACAATAATGTATTTTGTTGAGCTTGTTTGGGTTAGCACTATTCCTTGACTGCTATATACTTTTTCTTTCTTTTCTTTCCAACTGAATGGAAGACTTTGTCTTCCTCCAAAATTCGATAATTAATTACTAAGATTTGAGCATTTTGATGATCTAGAAATCATCCTTTTATTAGCTACAGGGTTGCAAAGTAACCATAGCTGGTATGGAAGAGAGCTTTCCATGCACATGTCTCTACAAACTTCTCAAACTTCTTGGCTTCTTGAACTTTGCACCCGAAAGTATCCATTGCAAAAGGATAGACACACTTTCAGATTTCTCTCATTCTAATCCACCACTTGCTGGCTGGAGAGTGACAGAATTCTGATACTGACACATATACGTCTGGATGGCACTCCTCTGTTCGTCTCCTGCTACCAGCCAGAGAAGCATGGCAGTCATCATTTACGTAACAAGCACTTGCTGAGTGTCTGTAACAGCATCGTATTACCGTGTTTCCCTGAAAATAAGACCTAGTGGGAGAAGAAGCCCTAGCATGATTCCTCCAGGATATGGAGGTCACATACCCCTCACATGAGGGTTTTATCACCTGTTTCAGAGAGATGGGTGCCTTTTCCACAAAGCCTTTCAACTTAAAATATTCAATATGTCAAGGTGCCATATTTTGACACCTAAAATCATGGAAGGCCTTATTTTCTGGCTAGGTCTTATTTTCGGGCAAACAGGTAGTGGCTGGGCTAGAGACATAGGTAGTGGACAGAACAATGATATTCTTCCCCCTGGACACTGCCCAGAGTGACTGCCATTGTGGCCAGGCCAATTATGGACATATACATATTTATTTGTTCTTTCTTTTTTTTTAATATTAGTTGCCAAAGGGCAAATTCTTCTGCAGGTTCAAAAAGCATCAAACACTAATTGCAAGGCCGACCTTTTTTTTTTTTAATTGGAGAAGGGGAACAGTGTTGGGGAATTGGGAAAGGGGAACAGCCAAATTGTTGTCCTTCAATCTTAGTTGTGGAGGGCGCAACTAGCTCAGCTCCCAAGTCCAGTCGCCATCCAGCCGCCCGTCGGCAGCTTGCAGCCACTCAGCTCATGGTGCCGTGTTCAATCTTAGTTGCTAGTGGGCACGGCTCACCACCCCATGTGGGAGTCAAACCTGGCAACCTTGTTGTTAGGAGCACGTGCTCTCACCAACTGAGCCATTCTGCCACCTGTTGGCAGCTCAGCAGCAGCTCAGCTTGGGCACAGCTCACTGGTCCATGTAGGAATCAAACCAGTGACCCTGTTGCTCAGAGCTCACTCTCTTAACTAACTGAGCCACTCTGCCGGCCCCACAGGGCTGACCCTTAACCAATGATTCATATGAAAACTAAATTAAATTCAGAAGAAAAGTCCTTAGCCAATTCTAGGGGAGTAAAAGACAATATCATGCTAAGCTAGGAGGGTTAATTCTGGCAGACCTGAAATTGGCCTGAGCTGTTTTACTGAAATAAGAAATGTACCTGTTTTGCCCTGATTCCTGGTCAAAGCATGGAATGTGAAGAATAACAGTGTTACTTGTAACCATAGTTTTGAGAGGTTTCAAGTATTTATTGATTAACTATAATTGTAAGGAAATTGATCATTTGCATCTAGTCTCATTGAAACATGTGGCGGACTCTGTCACTTAGTTAGACAGCAAGAAATTACCTTCATGACCAGCTAGGTGTAAGAAACCCCAGATGAGAATGCATTTTGAATCTCTTTGTTTGAGGTGTTTTGTGCCTGCATCCATGGTTTCTGGCCCCAGAGAGGAAGTCCGCTCTGGTCAGGTCCTTGCAGAAGGAGGACAGTCACACCTCTTAGCTGACTTCTCTGGACCCCATGCCCTGAGCCAGCCTTTGGCTGTGATGCGCATCTTTAATGCAGCTGCTGTCTCATATCCTTTTTCTGCGATCAACTACAAATTTCTAAGCATTGTCATTTTGAGTTCTGGGAGTCTTTGTTAGCCACAGAACCCTGTCTAACTGCCACTGTCAGTGTGTGTATAGTGACGCAGGTAAAGGCAAACTGCATGTATAAGGAAATATTACAACAGGCAGAAAGAGTGAACTGTCATTCCTGAGGTGGGCAGGGCACCTGGAAGAATCTTTTCCAGCTCCCAAGACGTTCATTTCTCTAGCAAGTCTTTTTAGCGTTTGTCTTTAGACAAATAGACAACGATGGTTTCATTGACACAAACCATTAACTTTTCAGCTTATAAAAGTCTTTAAAAATAATCTAAGCTGCAGCAGGCTAACAAAATAGATATTAATGAGCATCTCAGTGAATGAAGTTAGGAAACTTACATATTTACTGCCCAGGTGTGGGAGGATCCATCAAGCTGTCAGTTCTTGGTTTTCCCTTGTGCAGAGTGCTCACCTAAAAACAGAAGATACGCTTGGATCTATAAGTTCAGAGAGTGAATAAGGATGAACATAAAGATTCTTGGCTTGTTTTTTGTTTTTCAAGAAAAGTCCAATTTCCCTGCAAGAATGTCACTAGAGCCACAGTTTGCCTCTTGGTATTGCCCGGAAATTGTTCACCAAGATTTATGAGCTTTTTTCGGCCGTTGTCTGTTTTCACCCTAAGGGAGCCATGCTAACTAACTCCCTGGCCATGAGGGGGTGTGACAGTGGGGAGGTGATAACAGAGGAACCCTGGAGAATGAGCTATTGATTTTTGCTTGTTCCATGAGCTGGCTCTGCCTAAGCAAAACTGTGTCATATATTAAAGTGCCATTTTATCAGGAAAACATTCTAGGGTCCTCTGTTTAAATAATTCAGGAAGACTTTTGTGAAAATGAATGTATAGGCCAACATGAACACTTTGGTGACATACAGAGCAGCACAGAGGACATTGCTCTAAATAACAGTGTCATCCCGTCATCCAATATAAAGATAAATATTAGCCTACAGTGATGGGAAGCTGAGAGGCCCCATGCGTTTTTACATGCCCCTTATTCATAATCATCACATCTCACATTACCTTTGTCTTTCAGGTAAATTCAAGTATCAATATCAGTCACACTTTATAAAACCAGCTTTGAGAATAAATGTCATCATTTTGCTCCAGTTTTTAGCTGCCATTTAGGAAACCTGTTTTATGTGGACTCCATTGGTGTCATTTATTACCTGCACAGTCATGGTGATAACAAATAGTGCCAGAGACCTATAAAGAGATCAAATCAGAAGTTCTCTCCAAGAGCTCCTTAGGTCCTGTCCTCAGAGAAATGTCAGGAACAGAGTGACAGCCTCACTGCCCCTACCCTAGTTACAACCTTTTGCTCACTATTGTTTATATTGTAAAAGGCACAGCACCTCCTGGAATTCATGGGTATGAGATACAGGAATGAGAAGTAAACAAAATAAACATTTACTGAACCACTACTGTCAGCCAGAAGTCGTGTGAAGCAAATCATGTGAAAATCATTACAATTCTTCCTTCCAGGTCTGACTAATTGGGAATACAGAATGTGAGAAAGATTCAATAACAGTCTGATTCCAAGAACAGTTATAATAATGATATCTATGGCAAAAGCAAATGGAACACATGCATACCTAGGGGGAAAAAAACTGGAAGGAAATACACTAAATGCCAATAGTGATTACACCAAGGTTGTGTCTCATGAGTAATTTTTAATTCTTTTCTATTCTTTATTTTTTCTATCTTCCATTATGCATAATGTGCTCAAATATTAAAATGGCTGTTTAAGCCATGAACAGATATTACAAGGCAGTAATCTATGCTGATTTTCCAAGTGAATGTAAGTTAAGAGGGAGAAAGACCATGTACAGCTGGGATAGTCAAGGAAGCTTTGGTGGAAATGCAGAGAATGAGCCAAATATTGACGGGTTGGGAAGATAGAAGCAGAATCTGTGTGTGGCTTTGTAAATCTATGAATCTTTTTGCTGATCTTTACACTTTTACTCATTTCTTGTTGTTAATGAACTTTTATTTGTAAAAATAAATAAGCAAAATAAGCAACTGTGCATTTACTGAGTAATTACCATAATATACTAATTGGTATTAGTATACTAATAATATACTAATTAGTATTAGTATACTCGTAATATACTAATAATGTATAATTACCATAATGACAAGGAGGGGGAAGTAGGAGTGACAAAGGAGACCAAGGCACCGACTCCTCTTTCAAAAGGGCCTGAGTGCAGCGAGGAAGGCAGGGACAAATGAATGACATCTGGGGAACATGCTTTATTAAGTGGTTCAAAACTGAACAAGAGAAGCCTCACGCATGCTGGCAGCCCTGGTAGACATGCTGAAGTGCTTGAACTTAATCTTACTAACACCGACTTATCAGAGGTTTCTAAGCAGAGCAATATTGTAATGAATTCAGATCTGCTTTTTCTTCCTCCCCATTTTTCAAAATCAAGGAATGCTTTGAAACAAAATTTAAATGTACTGTGTTTTCTTTGTTCTGTGGAGTCATGAATTCTTGAACTAATTTGAGGAGCTATCTTCATAAATTTTATAGGCCTTAAAGTTAAAATGAGAAGCGCTGTTTCCTTGGAAGCATGATATATTGACCTCTAAAATGATACAATTTATTTTCAGATATGAGACCAGGTTTTATAAATGGAAGTACTGACCAATCCAGTGAACTCTTATGGCCACTGAAGCTCAAATTTCATTTTGTTACCTCTTAGGCACATTAATTCCCGCTATATTGCTTAGGCCATGACGCAAATAACATAAAATGCAGCACTCATCAGTTCTGAGTGGTGGGTAGTCAGACATTTGTTCTATCAAATTATTTTCTGAGTTTTTTAAATTGCTCAAAAATTGTATAAAGGAGATAGGGGAACATTGGGTTAAACCTGTGAACTTAACATTATATCTAATCATTTCAGATTTCATTCTGTTAGTTATATTTTAGGAAAGATGTCACTATTACGGGAAAAGGTATTTAAGTAAAAACAATTATAATAATGGAACTTCTCTTGAGTATGGTGATCATTGCTTTATAAATAAAGCATATTTGAATAAGTTGAAAATACAATGGAAGATTCGTTGGGCATTAAAGAACAATCAGATATTAAATTTACCACCAAGAAGCACAAAGTTCTCCAAAGTTTTCCCCTCTGGATGTTTCAATTCTGGTGTCAGTTGGCATTATCCTGGTAGAAAAGGGTGCTAAAGTCGGTGGTCGTGACCCCAGCCCTCTCCTCAAAAGAAAAGCCAGCTGGTCAGCATGCCAGTCACAGCTTGGAGAGGCGGAGGCTGCAGTGTTATGTTATGTTAAATTCCCAGTGGAGTGAGTAAGGGAGAGTGCATGAAATTATTGTGATGCTTGCTCACAAATCACAGGCAGATTCTAAGAACTCTTCTTGACCAATGGCATAGTTACACTCAGGACCTTTCAAGAGCTTACTCAGGACTAGTTCATTTTTAGGCTGCTTTTCTGCTAACCTAGGAGAACAGGTTTGGCTACTTAGTTAAGGCCAGTAAATAGCCAGGGGAAACCTGTGAGTGGTTTGAATGTCATGAATGAATTTTACTCCTCTGCCCATGCACATGGTTACCTCTGAGAGAACTATTAATATGTGGGAAAAAAGAAAAGGTGTACGTTAAAGAGTAGAAGAGATGCAAAAATGAGGAAGGTCTCTCTTAAATGACAATGGCTCACATGAGGGGTTTGACATGTCTCTGCAGATTTTGGGTGCTCTCATTTTTCAAGTCTTCTATTGGCCTCTTGTAATTTGTTCTAATTAGAATTCCCTACCTGAAATTGGGGCCACTTTCAGTTTTTGATATCTTGCTCTTGAATTGGGACAATATAGCTTTTTGTTTTACAAAAAAAATTTTGCTACATATGTGTGATATCATTTTATCATTCTATAGCTCTCACTTTACGTAAGATCTGTATTCTGGGATTATTTTGTATAGGTAAAATTGGGTAACTGAATATGGTAAATGTATTAATATAACTTGGTATTTAAACATGGATTTTTTTTATGAAGCTGGTAATTTCTATTTATCTGTTTTGTGATCACCATGTTTTAAATAAGAGTTCTACTCAAAACAAGAAAGTAATTGGTGCTTTTTTATTTTTAAAAGCTACATTGCATCTCATTTATTATTACTCTTGATATGCTATAACTCATACAAATTGTATTTATGTTTTGAAAGAAACATTTACATTTCAAATCAAGTGAAATCTAAACCTAAAAAATTGGAAAAAGAAATGCCAATTTTATCAACAGGAAATTGTGTTTTGTCCTCATGAGGAAACCTAATTAAAATTATATGAAATTATACAAAATATGATTTACATTTTAAGTGATGAATCCTGGTTCCAGTGAACTACACACAGCCATTACCAACAATGAAAAAAAACCCCAGCAATAATCATAAAAAAAACCCTAGTACACATAATGTTCTCTTTGATACAACTGCAGAATGGAAAATGCCTCTATTTACCACTCATTCTTTAGAACACATCTACACATTATGAAAAGCAACCTCTGAAAGCCAGGTAGACTAACAATTTTACCAAAAATAATATTTCTAGGGCTAATCTTTCCTTTATAGGAGAGTTTTGCATTTATTGGGAGTTATTACTTGACTACTTCTAAAGAAACTATGATTTTCAGACATAAACAAAATCCAAGTTAGATTTTGAAATAACCATTTTTCATCTAATCATCAACCTGGGAACTTACCAGATTCATGAGAAATTGTCTTAACAGTGAGAAGCTTCACACTCTCTTTATCAGACTGAGGTCTATTTGGAACAGAAAACATTCAGTTAGTATTATCACTGTATGTCTGTGAAAGAAAGTAAACATGATATACACAGAATGAAGAAGATACAAAACATATATATTTTTATGTGTTTCTATGGCAAAACCTGTGTCTTATATAGACACACACATACTTTTACAGCACTTTCCACTTTTGGAATCAAGCCAGTAAGTCTCCATCACTCTGTTACAGCAATGCAATGATCAGGCAAACTAAACATTAAGATGGGTTGTGGGAAACACTTGTCACAGGGTCTGCATGGTACAGGTCTCCCGTCCTGAATCACGAAGGGGAAGACATAGCAATGTTTCTAAACCTTTTGGGCTGGTGCTGAGTTCTGGGGATGTCCTTTTTTATGAGGCCCTGAATACTGCAGTATAGAGTCTGAGCTATTTTAATCAAGAATTCCCACCTATCCTTTCTCAGGTTCTGAATTGTTTCAAACCCAAGTTCCTTTCCTTGGACCTGTCAAATCCTCTATTTCTAATTAAGAAGGGTAAGTGATCTATGGTTAGCATTTCTAAAGTTCACAGTCTGATGAACAAAAGCACCTACATAAAAGCAGCCTACAAATTGAGATCAGCAAAGAAAATGTAACCTCAGAATTGGTTTTTGACATTAAAATAATTTTTCTTTGTATTATAGCACCTTCATTGCAACAGTTGGCTGGATTGGTAGCAACTGCTTTTTAAAAAAAATTATTTCATTTTTTTTCAGTTACAGTTGACAGTCAATATTATTTTATATTAGTTTCAGGTGTACAGCACAGTGGTTAGACATTTCTATAATTTAAGCGGTGATCCCCCAATTGGTCTAGTAGGTACCTGGTACTGTACGTACTTGTTGCAACATTATTGACCATGTTCTCAATGCTGCACTTTACATCCATCCTCATGACTATTTTGTAACGGCCAATTTGTATTTCTTAATCCCTTCACCTTTTTTCACCCAGCCCCTCAAACTCTCTCCCCTCTGGCAACCATCAGATTGTTCTCTGTGTCTATGAGTCTGTTTCTGTTTTTAAAAAGTCAAAACAGAACAAGCATCTACTGTTAGGGAAAAGCCACTCATTGCTGTCTCCAGGTGCAGACATGATTTTTCCCTAAGTGTGATAAACATAGTGAAAATTTCACTGGGAAAACTATTTAAAAACTCTAGGTATGCTTCTATGATATTTACCCATGTAGTTATATTCATTCTTCTATGTTTACAGTTCATCTTTTGATTTTCTATTTTACTACTTTACCCAAGCTTAAGAGCAGTCCTCTCTTTTAATTGTTGAAATGTCTCTGTTGAATAGAGAGAGCCCTGACAAATACTTAGCCAAACTCCATTTATAGTGTTTTCTACACAAATTCTTTAAAAAACAAGCCAAAAATAAGTGTAAGTATAGATGGGTACTCTTCCCTATGTAAATGCTAGGGTCAGGCTTCTAGGAAAAAAAAAAATGACGTGGCATTACTTACTGGTCATTTCCATTTTCTGGCGTGCCTAGGGGAGAAGAGAATTGTTATTAGAGTTGCAAGAAGCTTTGCTACAAAAAACTTGAGACCCCTGCCATTTTCTGTGCAGAGATATTGCTAAAGGCAATTTTTAACTTTTGTATCTCTCCACTCCCTGCCCCACTAACCATTTTCTCAGATATGGTTACCATTCATTTCTCAGGTATGACTAATGCATTCACGAAATAGTCCTAACTAGGCCATCCCCCCTGAACTTAGTTCTGGACTAATTTTAATCTTATTGTTTCATATCACTATGTGAAACTACTATTGGTTATCACGCATTCCACAGAACCCAGAAAAGTCTCAATTTATGTCAGCAGCTCTGAAAAAAGTTTCTCCTCCAAGTATCAAATTACCTTTTTAGATCAGCTGATTGAATTTGTGGCTTTCTTTTATACATTGTTCTTTTTGAGGACACAAATCACTGTATTTGTGATGAACTATGATATAGACATTGCTTCTAATTGCATCTGAATCCCACTGATTCAGCCTCTCAAAAATGCCCACAATGTCTCTGTGGCTGCTAATAGCAACTAATCTTTTGTAGGCTTTGCCAGGCCGCTCCACAGGGTCTGGTAGAAACAATGTGGGGTAAGAGTGAGACTCAGATGATTCATTCTACACATGAGCAGCCTTCAGGAGCTGATGTTGGTGCTCAAACCTCATATTAACTGTGGCCTATCAGGCAAACTATACTCATATAATATAATTGCTTTGTTTTGTTCCCAGCTTTTCTGTGGTTTTAATTCATTGCTACTCAGCTCTTATCTCTTGGATTCCATCTCTAATCTATTATACAATAGCTCTTGTCATTGGATATATATATATATATATATATATATATATATATATATATATATATATATATGTGTGTGTGTGTATATATATATATGTGTGTGTGTGTGTGTGTGTGTGTGTGTGTGTGTGTGTGTGTGTGTATAAAACCCTTTGAATATAGTTCTCATGGCTTTGAAATCATTGTTTTATGAAGACCTTTATATCCACTAATTTTTGGCTGTTTCTATTTCTGTCACCTTGGCTAAGGTATCCCATCATGACACTTAATCCCTAGAATTTAACTCAGGATGCCATATACTGTTTGCCAACTTGATCTAACCTCATCTTCCCCACCATTAGTAGGATTTCAACAGCACTTTAAAAAAGTTCTATTATAAATGCTATGTGTAGGGCCGGCCGAGTGGCGCATTGGTTAAGAGCTGGCTTGGGATGCCAGAGGGCCCCTGTTCGGATCCCACATATGAGGGCCAGTGACACTGCCCTCCACAGCTAAGATGCTGAACAACAGCTCAACCTGGAGCTGGGCTGCCATGAGTTGCTGGTGACAGCGTAGGCTGCAGCCCCTGCTGCAGTGGGTTGCCATGGGCTACCATGTGTGGCCAGTAGCCAGCGTAAGCGGCCAGAGGCTGCAGTGAGCGGCCGTCCAGAAGCCGGTGACTGATCTACCTCGCCCGGGAAGAGCGCAATGATGGTGCCAACTTGGGCCAGTGAAGCAATGTCCTCCACAATTAGACTGAAGAACAAAAGGACAGCAACTTGTCTGTTCCCCTTCCCCCAATTCCCCAGCGCTGTTCCCATCCCCCAATTCCCCAATAAAAATCTTAAAAAAAAATGCTATGTGTGATATCACCTGTGATGCTCACAGCCATGTTCCAAAATGGGTTATCTTTTGTATGCCTATTTGATTTTTTTCCTAAGGATGCTGTAATATGGGTTCATTGGCAGATATATGCATACCAACAGACTACTTTCTGCATATGTACTCTTCTTATTTGGGTTAAAGCTCAGAGTATTGTTAACATTATCCAAATAAGGACAATTTCATACTAAAATCTCTGGTTCATGTTGTCTTCCAGAAAGCAGCGTGAGTTTATGCATTTTCTGAACTTAATGAATTCTCACCCACATATTGAAGAGTGATTAATTGAGGGTGTGTAATGGTGCTAATTTAATGATAACAATGCTATAAATTCTGTTTGGAAAACAGAGTTAACACTAACCAAGAAGATTTGGCTAATGGTACAATTGTCAAACTTGGTAACAAAGTATCATATGTCTTCAGGATAACTCTCCACATTGGTAGGAATTTTGTGCATTTTTTTCTTTTCCTTGGAATGATCCAACTCATCCAGAGTCCTCTTTAACAGAAAATGTCAACTTTACACATAACTTATTTGCAAATCTTCCTATGCAAAGCAGTTTTTCGGTAAAGGGTATTTTTACAAATGGATGTAGCACACTATTTTTTTTTTTTTTACCTTTCCTGTGTAGTCAACACCCACAGGATTCAACTTGGATGGTTGATTTTTCATAAAAGATAGGATTGGTGGTTTAGTAATTTAGAGAAATTAAACTGATTTATAAAAATGCTATTTCCCCTTTGGAAACTGAGTGAGAAAACATATTTTCAACATTATTAAGAAGTTTATTCATTAACTCCCAAGGAGAAAGTCATTGATTTGTTTTCATCTTATTTTCCACCAACAGCTAAAATAAACACGGCTGTGTTTGTCTCATTACTTTCCCTTGTACAGTCAGGCCTTCCACCATGCTGTCTGTGTGGTGGGGCATGCTTGGGACTGGCCTGAGGGACAGCATTCATTAAAGTCCTGGGGGCATGTTGTCCATGGGGTACATAAAGGGTAGTGTGGCTAATATATCTTATAAAATAATTGATTTTTCCTTTGTAACAGTTTTTGAGACTTAGGTAGAATTCTGTTAGTGAAATATTTAGAATTTAAGTGAGGAGAGGCAAGGTTCTATTTTACTGAAAACATAAAAATTTAACTCAGCAAGCATGTATAGTAAGGCTCTGCTATACATTATGCATGATGCAATGTGAACAATATGTGTTTTGTGACTGGAGAGGTTGCCTGAAGTTGTGCACTGAGTGTTTGCATTCCCCTAAAATTAATATGTTAAATCTTAACACCCAATGCAATGAATTTAGGATGTTGATTCTTTGGAAGGTGATTAGGTCATGAAAGCTGAGTCCTCATAGGATTGGTGCCCTTATGAAGAAGACCTTTCTTGTTCTTCCCAAGATGTGAAGACACAGACAGAAGGTAGCTATCTGTAAACCAGGAAGAATTAATACCCTCACCAGACACCCAGTCTGATGGCTTCTTGTTTGGACTTCTCAGCCTCCAGAATTGTGAACAATAAATTGTTGATTAAGCCACCCAGTCTATGGTATTTTGTTATAGCACTCAGAACAGACTAAGGGGAAACAGGCACATAGAGAAATACCTATACTGTAGTGTGATGGATAACGACACAAAATTCTACAGAATTTAAAGTGAGAACACTCCATTGTGCTTAAAGAGATGGTGTGTTATACAAAGATACATTAAATTAGTGTTTGAGCTAGATGCTAACGGATAAATTGGAGATTAAGTATGTTATAAAAGTTAAGTGGTGGACTGGACATTCTAGGGGAAGGAATAGCTTGGACAAAAGCAGGGATACATAACACAGCATTACACAAGCAGGGAAGGGCTCTGGAACGGAACAATAGACTGATGTTTAAGATAACCGGTGAATACTGAGCCATGGAAACTGAAGGGGGATTCAGATGAAGTGTCTAATAAAAACCGCTCAAGTTCCTGGAACAGAATAAAAGATTGAATAAAGGCTGAAAGATACCTGAATAAAGTAGGGACTCTGGTTTTAATGGATCAAGACTGGTTAATTAATTGTGACTAATATACCATGTTAATAATAGGAAAAACAGGTTTGGGGTGTATGGAAACTCCAGCTATCTTTGGAACTTTTTTATAAATTTAAACCTATTCTAAAATTAAAAGTTTATTTAAAAAAGAACAACAATATAATGTAACTATGGGAAACATAAATGTTTAAGAGGCAGGGAGAAGGTAAACTAGCAAAAAAGAAGAAAACAAAGGGTGAGGCTGTTTAAAAGGGAGCAGTGCCATTTTAAAGGTAAGAAGAAAGACTTCTAAATGCTATTGCAGGATTAAGGAGGATAATAAAGAATTTCAAACTGGAATCCCACTAAAAATTGCAATAGTGTTAAATCCTGAGGAACCAATTCAATTGATTCCTTCACTGGAAGGGAGCTGTGCCTCCCAGGAAGAAGCGAAGTCACATAACACTCTTCTTGAGATTATGGGCCCCTAAACTAAATTCTTAACAAGCTTCCCTTTATCATCTGTTATATGGAAAAGGAACAAATTTTCACCATAGATAATGCATGTCATTTTCTGTCGTCTTTACTACCACTTTCCCCCAACCACCCGCAAAACTGGGGCTGTTCCATTAAACAGAATTTGTCCATTTGATAATATCTGCCTCTAGTAGTTAATCCCGACTCCTTACTTCCCCAGCATTCAATGGATTTCCCTACCCCTTTGTCTCTACTTTTGGGATCAAGCAATATGGCATTTTATTTTTTCTGTATCCCCTATACCCTTAAGAGTTTTAACTGAGCATGTGTATTCTCAACAAAATGAAACAAAACGTTGTTACCTACCTGGGTCTGTCTTCCGGCACATTCGATACAAACCCACCAGAACAAATGCTGAGAGTGTTATTACAATCAAAGCAATGACCACAGGCAAAATAATACCTAGGAAGTATTGGAGACATTGTCAGAGTGGCTATTGAATTTCACAAAAAAATAGTTTATGCACTGAGCAAATTCATGCATGCTTTCTTTCTTCTTTAAACATCATTCTATTAAAATGTTCTATTTTAAGCAAAGATTTATCTGATTCATGAGTTTTGCTCTAGTTGTCATTTCTGACGTATCCACTTGATGTCAGTCTTGTAGCCTTTCTGAAATCAAATTTCAAACCTAAGGGCGATAGTTCCCCACCTTCCTGGAGACTGGAGGAGAGAGAAGATGGAAGGCTGGAGAGGCAGAAGATGTCCTCTAGACCTACAGTCAGACCCACGTTCACACATTAGACTCTTTACTACTTTATAATAAAGTTACTGGAAAAAAGATATATAAATATTCCACACTAGACCTGCTCTAATTATAAAGCTGGCTTTCTAAAAAACCCTCAAATATCTTTCCATAATAGTATCTTAGAATTAGAAAAGGTATAAAATAACATAAATGGATATAATGGGATAGCACAGTGTATATGATTTCTAAACATGAGCAATATGGTTCAAGAAAGATGTGCATGTGTGTGCATGTGTGTGTGTGCAAATGTGTGCAAATTGCTGCAGTAAGTAGGGTGGTTTTTTTTTCTGTTTTAAGAGGAGAGTTTTGCTTTGTTGGTTTTTTTTACCATCTGCCTTCTTTTCTGACAGTCATTTCCTATGTTAAAACTACAGTGATGAAAGGAAAACACTGTTCTAGGGCTATAACTAGAGATACAGAAATCATTGTTACTAATTAGTTAGGTATTCTCAAATGGTTGCTCATGTGTTCCTCGTGTTTATCAGGGAATGAGAATAATTACCAAATTCATTTGTAGGGTGGTTTACACTTGCATTGTTATGGTTAAATATTTGTTTTAATTAAGTCCTGCTGGATTCATATTAGACCTTGAACGAGATCACCAGTGCCTCCCCCAAATGAGAAAACCATGATCAGCTGGTCAATAAATGCAATGATGACCTATTGCAATGGAATGGCTTACGTAAACTTTAAGATCATCTTTTATCATGCCAGCTTCATATATATTCATCTTATTTTTAATCATCAGTGAAATTAATTAATATTCTCTATTTAGTCCTAGCATACACATATATGTTATATGACATACATCTGTTTTTTTCTAAAATGGAACATTTCTTAAAAGGCCATTTTTAGCATTAAGGCAAAGTTCAGTAGAGGTGAACAATTCATTTTTTATGGATATCTCTGGCTGTGCACTTCGGCTTATCTGAAACTGGCCCCATCAATTCACCTTGACCCTTGGTGGTAATTGCTTAGCATTAAAGTAAGAAAATCATCCTGAAAGTGTGCTCATTAAAACCAGACTAGCAAGTAGGAAATTCTCAAAGCATGTGGCAGTTAGATAGGGTTATCATGAGACTGCAGGTTCAGTAAAGCTGATAAAAATCTATCTATAATAAAATATCTTAGGGCCGGCTGAGTGGCTCAGTTGGTTAAGAGCTCGCTCAAGAGTTTGAGCTCTGAGCAACAGTGGTTCGAGTCAGCCCGAGCTGAGCAGCCGCGGAGCTGCCAACAGGTGGCGGGATGGCTCAGCTAAAAAAAAATATATATATATCTTCTCATATTGGTAGCATTCAAACATTCTGCGTATCTACTGCCATGAATGAACATATGTCTGTTACTCACTGGAATAGGAGGGGCTGGTTGAAGAAGAGCTTGAATTTTTTGCATTCTCAGTGCCTATTATTTGTAGAAAGAAAAACATCAGTCACCATTGGTTAACGTGTACCAGTCCTCACAATCCTCCCTCTACCCTTCTCCCCATTTAAGTCAGCCTCTGCGATCTGTAGGTCTGATGCTTCAGGTGAATATACCTGATCTCATGCTGAAAGAACTCTGTTTTGCAAATCAAGATTAGTAAGGGGTTAATGTATACAATTTGATGAGTTTGGACATACACCCATGAAATCATCACCGCTATCAAGGTAATAGGCATATATATGAATCACATTAAAAGTTTCCTTGTGCCCTCGCTTCTTTTTGTGGATGTGCATTTTGTTGTTGTTGTTGGCACGGTTTTCTTGGTGAGAAGGGGTTAAGCAAAGCCAGTTTGCACGCATGCACACAGAAGTCATACCTTGAGACTGTGAGATGTTTTCTGTCATTGCTGCTGATACTGAGGGTGATGTACTGGTTTCAGAGGGTGAGGCATCTGGTTGTGGAGAGCTAACTGTAGGCAAAAGTATAAATCCAGTCAGACTATAGTATCAACTCTCCTTATTGGGTTTCTTTGCAATTCAAACAGTTTGCATTTCTGAAGATCTGTGAAAACTGTTTCTTGTTGAATACATACAGTTGTGCACTAAGTCCTAAATTCATCTATTCCTCCTATAACGAAGAGTAAATTTGGAATCACAAAACCTGTATTTCTGTATTATATCTTCAAAAACTGTTAAGAAAACTTGAGTACATGTCTTATTCTAGACTACAGCCGATATCCCGTAGTGTACAGGATTCTTGTGGGATAAAAATCTATGCAAAAGCATTATTCACAGTTCAGATGTTATAACTGGTCGATAGTGATTTTTTTCTATCACACGTATATAAAATAAACATAAACGCATATGACTTCTTTTTTATAGTGTTCCTTACTGATAGAAGGGAAAGATTGTAATTAAGGCTTTGATTAGAAGGATAGGGGAAAAAATCAAAGATTCCTCATGTTCACTTTAAAGCTCAGCAGTGGTTTACACTTAAGTGTCTTATCTAGAGTAATGGCTGCTTCGTTGCATTTCCACCACTATTCTCTTCTTGAAAAAGAAAACGTAAATTTTAAACTTATTAAAATTATTATTTGTTTGCTTAAGTCAACATTTGCCATCTTTCGCCAGAAGGACTGAAACAAAAACTAAAAATTTATTATTCAAAATCCATAAATCTCAATGAATTTCAAGGAAATATAAATAATTAAATGTTTTATAAGTGCATATCATTTATTCTTATGAGTTTGGAATAAAATGTAATTTGTAGTTAGAAAAATATTGAAAAATTCTCTTTTTCTTGTAGTCTGAGGTGATAACTTTTTATCGCACCTATTTGCCTTGTCTCTCTACTGAATTGGAAGTTCCTGGAGTGAGAAAGCCATAACTCCCACTGTAGCCCACATACTCACGGAGCTCTGACCACAGTGGGTGTGCGGTAAAATGTAGCTTATGGCTTGGCTGAACTAAGAGGCTCTCTTATAATTATGGCCCCCTTAGGAATATTGAGACCATGTATAATTGCATCAGAGAAATTGATATCAGCTATGACTGCCTTGGATTTTTCCTTCTTTGCCACCCACAGCCCAGGACGCAGTGCATGCTCGTGCATTTTTGACATCTGTGGGGGAAGAATAATGTTTAAGAGTCTGTACCTTTCTTACCATGCAAGAGATCTGTGGGAGGAAGCTAGATATATGTCTACAAGAACAAAGAAAAATATCAAGCTAGTTCACTAAGCAGACAGAGAAAAAGAATATTAAATTCAAGAGTGGAGACTGACTGAAACTTTGGTACTTTTAGTTGCTTTTTCCAGTGTCAAGTGTTTTAGTAAGGATGAATGCTCTTTCAGTTGTGTTGGTTGAGAATGAGGTGGCTGATTAAATAACCAATGGCATGAATTCATCTGGGATTTCCCAAGGGTTAAGTTTCAAGACTCCTACCTTATTACCTTCTCACAGACAGGCTAAGTAGCAGCTATAGTTCTGAGTATAATCTCTCTGATTCAGATGAAACTCCATGCTTTCCTATTTAAAATGTGTTGATGGTCCAGTGTCAACTGTTAATGATCCTGATATATAGGTAGGCAAGAGAATTAACTTTTCTAAAATGGAGGATTCATTTGATCCTTGAATAAAGACTCCACATTTTTCTTTTTGTTTTTCTTTTAATTTTCACCTTCAATTAATCATTTCTGAATCTAGTACACACACACACACACACACACCACACACACACACACACACAACACACTTTACCTCTACACATGTAATGCCTTCTTGGTGTTTTCTTTTCTAGTTTCTTTTATTTAATTTTTTAAAATACTGGTCATGAATGGGAATGAACTCACAACTTGAGAAACCCTGCCCATTAGCATGATCATATTGATAAAATTATGGATTTTGGCTGAATTCATCAATTGTGATCCTAATGTGACTAAGATAGTGGGAACCATGATGTTTTCCAAGCTGATGATCTCTGTGGCTTTTGTTACATTATGACTAAAGTAGCATTGGCAGAGGAGGTAGAAGAGAGGTACAGTGGATAGTTAAAGGCATGATCCTGAAGTCTGAGTACCTGGGTTCAAATCTGACTCAAGCACTTAAATGCTGTGGGATCTTGGGCAAGTCATTTAAACTTTGTGTCTAAGTTTTCACATCTATAAGTGATGATTATAATAGCTCCACATCAGTGTTGTGAAAATTAAATGAGTACAAATAAATTTAAATTGCCTAGAAGAGTATTTAATACTAATGTTTATATTATATATAATATTATTATAAAATTATAGCATGATATGTTAAATTATACTTTATTAATATCTATTATTTTATAATATCCTATTATTGTATTGTGGTTAGGCCCCTAGAGAGTTGTAACTTTCAACCAAAGTCAATTTGTCTAATTTTCTCAAAAATTTTAAGTATAAAAGTATATGAAAGAGACTCTCAAGATACCTCAAACTGAAATACTAACTCTTCTTTGTTTCCAAGCCTGCTGGCTTTCAGACTGGTACTTAATCATTGGCTCTCCTGACAGTCATGTCTTTGGGCTTGGACTGGAATGACACCATCAACTTTCCTGGATCTCCAGGCCCCCAGCTTTCTGACTGCATATCTTGGGACTTCTCACCCTCCATAAAGTATGAGCCAATATCTTATGATAAATCTATCTGTATCTATCTATATTATCTATCTGTCTGTCTATCTATATTATCTATCTATCATCTATCTATCTACCTATCATCTATCTATTCTATTTGTTCTGTTTCTCTAGAGAACACTAATACAGTTGTATTTTCCAGAAAATTAAAGGCAGATGGTTTATTCATTTTTTAATACACTGAGGCATACTGGTCCATTTTTCTTCAGAGCTAAGATCTCTTATCAAAGAAATATAGAGGTTTATTTACAAGGACAAGCCTGTGGAAAAATGATAACACTAGAGAAAAGTGGATTCCATCATTGCATAAAATTGTTGTAATGGCTACATGATGCCTGCATATATACCTGGGGAATAAATAGTCTTCCATCACTTTTTAGTGGGTCTTTCCAGCTTCTCATGAGCTCTGAACTTAGAGTTAGCAAAACAAGGGTACAGAATAATCTGGCAGCTAGAAGGTCAGTTCTCCATGAACTATGAGTATGTCTTATACTGCTTTGCCCCATTCAATGTACATAACACCACAGCTACAGGCGGGGGAAAAATCATTGCCTTTGGCAATGTTAACATAAGGTTACCTGAAGCTTACCTATGACACATTGTTTTATACCCACTAGACTACTAGAGTTATTATAGTTATTTATAATGTTGACCAGTCTTCCTTAGAAATGCTTAATGAGAGAGTCCATATACCATATAACTCTTAGCTAGTGTTACTGTAATGGAACAGAATAACTTTCTTGAAGGACTCAGTTAGTGGTGGTTGAATACACTATTCTGTATATTTAGCAGGGTATCATACTAAATTTGAACTCTTACCAGGTCTGTTACAGTGGGCAGTTGAACTTTGACTTTCCCACATGCCTCAGACATTGACCATCAATTCCTCACTAGCATTGTTTAATACAGCTGTCTACTTGATACTATTGAGTGGAATGAATGGGTGTGTCCTCAGACCCGGACCAACCATTTCCACGTAACCATGACTATCTTTTAAAATCTTTATCATATAATCCTAAATATCATATCTATGTATAATTTCTTATCATTCACATTTTATTTATTTATTTATTTATTTATTTATTTATTTATTTATTTAGCTGAGCCATCCTTCCACCTGTTGGCAGCTCAGCGGCTGCTCAGCTCGGGCTGGACTCGAACTGCTGTTGCTCAGAGCTCAAACTCTTGAGCGAGCTCTTAACCAACTGAGCCACTTGGCCGGCCCCATTCACATTTTATTTATAGTTGCCTTACTTATTTTGAATTCTTCTCAAGAATCCTATTTTAAAAAATCATCAATTTCTAGACCCTTACTAGTAGTTTTTGAAGTGGGTGGTAAAAAAACATAACTTTTTAAGAAAATTTAAGCTGGATACATAATATGAAAAAATATCATATGTGAGAGCTATGTAGGATCTATTGAAACACTAAATGCATATTAGCTCATATTTATAAAAAAGAAGAAGTACTAATAATTCCATGGGCTGAAATTCTACTTCAATTTCTACCTAAAAAAGAAATACTATTTTAAATAAGATTCATATCCTTGATCATATGGGTGAATATTTCACAAATTTGATATTTGAACATCTTTGATAAATATATATGACTGAAGATTTTAAACAAACTCAATTACAGTTGTTAATAAGGTATAATGAATACCTTGTTAATAAGCTTTTTTTTTGAGTGATTCTGGATTCATATTTTAGCCACAACATATATCTAAAGCTTGAGACAGACTTTTCTTGAGGCTTATAAAATCAGTCTCATTTCTTGCTAGTTCACTATTCAGATCAATGGCTTGTTTTATTATTTGTTTTAGGAGAACTAGTTTCCATAATTCAAAATTAAAATAGCCCTAAATGGGTTTTCATTACATTTAGAACCCCATTATTGTTAAAGCTGGAATTTTGTGACTACAACTTTTCTAAACAAAAGCAAGGATGCTCCAGTCCCTCCTTCAAAGGAGCTGAGGAGTTTGGCAGCCTTGCAGTTCTCCACCTGTAGTTTCTCCAGGGTAACAAACCCATGAAGCAGAGGGGAGGGACTTCTCCAGAATCTGCACGGCGTTAGCCAATGCAAAGCCTCTTTGCCTGGATGTATTGTTTTATGCTTTGTTTTGCTTTGTTTTCCCTAGTTCTTTTTCTAGTGCATTTCTAGATTATGTATAGATGGAAATTAAAAAAAATATATGGTGATGAAGTGAAATACAGGGCATTAATAATGTAAAAACAACTTCCTTCATGAGCTATATTATGTAGACGATAAATGAAAGTTAAAAGCATAATCATTCCAGTTTTGAATTCCTTGAATACAAGAGGTAGAAGGTAAACTATGATGATTGTTTAGAATATTTGCTGTGAAAATATTATTAGAGCCACTCATAAATTGCATGGCTTTATTTTAAAAAAATTTAATACATGGTCTACATTTATTTCACATATATCTCAGTTTATAAATACCAAAGGTGACTAGGATTGAGAATCTAAGAGATTTGTCATTTATTAAAACATCAGGTAGCATTTAGGAAGATAAAAATACCCCAAATAATTGTGATTTCAAAACACAGGAAGATTCAACGTTACTGTCTTTCCCTGGCCAATGATATGTTTCAGTTCCCATTGCTCCATCATCTGAAATTCATTCAGTTTAAAACTAAGGATGGCAAAACAAGCACTTCTTGTAGTGACAACATTTTATGCTGTGAACTGTGGTTTATAGCATCATCTCTTATGATGCCAGGATCAGGCTTTGTTAGGAAATACGGAGAAGGCAGTTCACAAGCACACTGTACTTCTAGGAGAGGGCATACCAACCATTGAAATAGACCAGGAACGACAGGCTCTGGGCAGATGACAATTCCACAGGCTTCATACGTTTACCAGGGCTGGTCCCACTCACCCCAGCCACAGAGCATTCAGGCACAACCTTGTATGTTCTCCTGGTCTGCTTTTTTATTTTTAATGTAAGGTCTTCTAAAATTTTAGTTGCCACATAACGTTTTCCCTTGTACTATTTCACCCTGCCCTCAAACTGGTTGATCTACTTATTCTTGGGGTTTTACACATAAACATCCTCAGAGAAAACAAAACAAAAACATTAACTTACCTGGTCTTTTTGTTGTTTTGATGGAGCTCTCATTCTCAGCTTTAAAGGAAAGAAAAGAAAACCACTAAAATTAAATGTTAAGTGTCAGATCTACTGTCATAATTGTTTCAGGTGACAAATGGATATAGAACTTAGCTCATTTCTGATTTACTTTTTCTCAAATTATAAAATCATGAGGCTTCATGATTAAAAGATACTTTAGATCAAGGGTCAACCAACTTTTTCTTACAGGGCCAATTATAGTAAATATTTTAGGCTTTGTGGGCTCTAAGTCTCTGTAGCAACGACTCAACTTTGCTGTTGTAGTCTGAACACAGCCTTACATAACACCTATATTCCAACAAAACTCTATAGAAAAACAGGTGGGGGCTGTATTTGGTCTGAGGGCCACAGTTTGTTGTTGAACTTGCTTTAGAACATCTGCACCTTGAATATGGCTGATAACACAGACAACTACACGTCCTTTGGCAGGTGCTTCATGAGTGGCACTGCCATGTGTCATATTTCTAGTAAGATCTGATGCATTTCCTGACCTGGAGAAGATTCAGGAAGGTTTAGACAGATACCTTTGAAACTTAGGGAATTCCTTTAAAGTCAGTACAGTCCAGGAAAGCTTTCTACAAGTAAAATTACTTGAGAGAATTGTAATCAAAGTTCACTTCAACAGCTTGGAGTATATGCACCATGAACAAGATTTGCCATGTGAAAAATACAAAATATATTTTTGAAACAAGTAGAGGCCCAATTATAAATGTCTAAAACATCCATTTGCTTCCTTTGCACCTTCACTTGACTGTTTATCAGTATCTCCAATTTAACATGCCCAAAACAAAGCTTGACTGGTAGCCTTAAATCTGCCTCTACCCCCACCTTCTTAGCTTAAGGCATAGCACAATTTCCCTTCCAGTTGCACAAGCCAAAAAAGTAGTGGCCTTTTTTTGATTCCCCTCTTTTTTTCACCCCCATCAGCTCTACTTTCATAATATATTCCAAATAGGTCTCACCACTTAATCAGCTACTGTTCATCTGGAACCCATATTTCTCCCCTCAGTGCCTGCAACAGCCACCTAGAAAATCTTTTTAAATTTAAACTTGGCTGCTACAATGGCTGCTTACTCTTTTGACTAAGGCTGGCAAGTCTTTATAGGATGCAGCCCCTGTCTTGCTTCTAAATTCATCTCCAACCATTCAGTCAATTTAGATCAAAGTTGGTGGGGGATTGGGGGGCTGGAGGGGGGAAGCTCTTCCTGACTCTGGCTTCTCTCTTTGCTGTCCCCTAAATCTCAGTGTTGTTCTCTCAAACCTGTATTGGCTTCCTTTTACCCTTCACGACTCTGCTCAGATGTGACCACTCAGAGAAGTCTCTTCCAACCAACTTATCTAAAGTTATCTCCACATTTCCTTTCATGCTAGTCTACCATTCTGTGTCATTTGCTCAACAGTACTTTGTTTTTTAACTACAGTGACATTCACTTTATTAAAATTTTGTTGTTGTCAGAATGTAAACTCCATAAGGACAGCGATTTCTTTTTTTTTTTTTGCATTTTTAAATTATAGTTGATATACATTATATTAGTTTTAGGTATACAACATATTGATTCAACATTTTTATATATTACAAGGTGATCACAGTATATTTAGTAAACCACCTGTCTCTGTACAAAGTTATGATATTATTGACTCTGTTCCCTATGCTGTATATTATATCCCTGTGACTTATTTGTTTTGTAACTGGAAGTTTGTATCCCTTCACCTTTTTCATCCATACCCCCTACCTCCCTCCCCACTGGCAAACATCAGTTTGTTCTCTGTATCTATGGGTCTGATTTTTGTTCTCTGTATCTTCTGGTTCTGTCTTGTTTTGTTTGTTCATTTGTTTTATTTTTAGATTCCACATATAAGTAAAATTGTATTGTATTTGTCTTTCTCTGTCTGACTTATTTCACTGAGCATCATACACTTGGCAGCTCAGGGCAGCTCAGTGCAGCTCAGCTCAAGGTGCCGTGTTCAATCTTAGTTGCTGGTGGGTGTAGCCCAACATCCCATGCAGGAGTTGAAACAGCAACCTTGTTGTTAGGAGCACATGTTCTCACCAGCTGAGCCATCCTGCCACCTGTTGGCAGCTCAGAGGCAGATCAGCTCGGGGCAGCTCACTGGCTCATGTGGGAATCAAACCGTTGACAGTGTTGCTCAGAGCTCGTGCTGTTAACCAACTGAGCCACTTAGCTGGCCCATAGCTACCATTTTTAAAGTAACTCTTATGATCAGTTTCATACATTAGTTGTTGATGTTTACAGAGAGCTATTATTCTCATTTTGCACATCCGCAAATATTTTCTGAGAGAAGTAAAACAACTTCTCAAGGGGATAGGCAATGATTATAATTCAGGTCCTTTGGTTCTAATGTCCATCCTCTTTTACTAAAATAGATAGCATTTCCTTCCACTAAACTGTTCTGAAAGGAAAGCTTATGTAATTTAGTTCTACTTTTGATAACTATTAGGTTGTCAGAAAAGTCATAAAATATTTTTTCCATGTTTTTTGTTGCAAAAATGCATCATGACTTTTCTGACAGCCCAATAATTAAGATACCTTTGAACATGGCATAATATTGTATTTGGAAGATGCGGTTAAAATATTTATAAACTGCTAGAGGATTAGAATACAAAGAAAATCAAAACCCTTTCTTCCTCTTGCTATTAATATCAGGTCAGAATCTTTTTTGCTGATAGACTTCATTGATAATAAAAAATTTTCAATTCATATTCTTTATTTGTGTTTTTATCAGTCTTCAAAAGTGTATAACAATTTTAGAAGGAATTATCATATAAAAGAAAAATAACTATGACTTAAGGTGTGCCAGAATACCAAAAAAAAAAAGGAACATATACCAATTCAAAAGACTTATAATGAGTCCTAAGACATCCAAACTTTTACATATGAATAAATATATTGTTATTCTGAGGACAAAATTCTGCAAACTTTAAATATTTAATCAATACTGGAATATATACCCTTTTTTCTGAAATCATGAGATATTATTTTGAAGATAATACAGTGTTCTCATACAGTATACCACTTTCAAATTTGGACTCAGTTCTGCAGATATAAAAGCTTAATAGTGATTAATGCTATGAATATTGCTAAAGTCACGATGACTAATAAAAAGTGAAGATAATTATAATGATCTCTGGTTATTATTTATAACTTTCATAATATACATGTGTTCTGAGAAAGAGTCAAGCTCTGATCTATGGAGGGAGTGAGTAAAGTCAAATAGCAAATGAGTGTAGTGCATTCTGTTAACCTATTCTCAAACTTCGATGTTTAGTAAAGATGGAAACCTTAGTCAGGGTGATTGACAAGTTAAAATGTTGGTTGACTTTAATTCTCTAATATGAAACTGAAGTCTTATGAAATGCAAATGAACTTCTAAACTGCTAAACTTTAATCCACATTAATCCAAAGCTAAAGTTTACTCAAATAATTAGCTTTTAAAACAGAAAGCTTAAACAAAAAACATGCAACTTTGCTAAATATTCTTATTTTGCAAAGAATATTATGTTTTCCTCTATACAGAGCTGTATATAGTTACATGTAGAACGTGATATAGGTCTAGGAGAAAAATATATACAGCCATTTCCATATATAATTCTTTACTGATTTGCATAAAAATAATTAACGAAGAGCAATTGAAGTTTTCCTTATCATTCATTCTCCCATACATGGCATTGACTGAGTCATTGTACGTGAGATTATTTCTCCTTTGGTTAAACCATGATTGGTGACTAAGATTTTGTTATCTTGAGGATTCCTCTTGTTTCTGCCCACAAGAAATGATACAACCTAATTAAGTAGCATAAAGGGAACATTATGATTAACTTCCAAAATAAGTGGCATAGATAAATGGCGCCATTCACAAAAGGAATAATGAGGCTGGGATATCAGATACATTAATGTTTTCCAAAGGATGAGATGCATAGCCTTGGATGAGAAATTCTATAAGGTGATACTGGGAGGTGGCATTAAATAAGATTGAAACACTCAATTAGAAAGTTATTTTCTTTTCAGCTTCCTTTCAGTTTATTTGATTATTTCAATGAGGAGGTTTTAAAATTTCAGTTTGATGTAAATATATCATTAATACCTAGTATGGGTTTATCTTTTTTTTTTTTCCAGGGGAAAAGTGAGATGGAGTCTACCACTACCTTAAATTATGCAGTGTCATTTCCCACATTTGGCGAAATCTCAGGGGTTAGCACATCTGGAATGCAATGGACAAGCCTGGCCCTGGGAACCATCTTTGTGATCATGGTATTTCCCCTGCCAGGTAAGTGTTGGATTTTTTTTTTTAAACAAGGATAAGCAAGTTTTAAACTCAGAGCCTTTGGCAAGCAATACAATCTAGCTAGAATTTAATTTTATTTTGCTTACATCATAGTGATTTTACAGCTCCTGTTTATGCCAATTGAAACTGGTTTGTCATTTATGATGATTTCCTTTTCCAACAAATTTGAAATTAAAAAGTGCATCAATTTCAAGAGCATAATAAATAAATAATAATGCAGATGGTACACATATCTGGCAATTCTCATTAAGTTATGGAAAATACTGAAGTAAAATCTTGTAGAGTCCTTGATTGATGTGTAGAATTCAAATAAGCAATTGAAGGAAGGATGAGGGGAAGAAGAAATTAGGACCGTACACATGAAGAGGGCAGGAAACACACACACACACACACACACACACACACGCACACATGCACACACACATGTGAACAAATCTGTCATGGGGGGTAACAGCGAGAGAACAACCATGGTTAGAATCATAGGTTTATATTTAGTCAGTCAGTCTCTTATGTTATGTTGAACACCTACTTGTCAAGCATATGATACACCCAGTTAATAGTTGGTTGTTTTCTACTTCCTTTAGACACTTTATGTAAAATTGTTGTGACATGAACAAGTATGGTATAGTGAAGTTTATGGGGTTTAAGGCAAGAAAAACAGTGTTTGAATTTCATCTTTTTAATTTCTCTAA